AGAGAAAGAGAATGAGTGCCCACGCCACGAGAAGCATGCCTCGCACACCGTCATCATCGTCACCCTCCTCCTAACCCATCCTCTCCTCTCTCCCTCCCTCTCCCCCTTTCTCTCTCTCGCCGGAAAAAGAGTGAAAATTAAGGCTAATTTCCCGCGACCTTCCCGTCGTCTTCCTCACGATGAATCGACCAGTCTCTTTTTTTTCCTTTTTGCGCGGTTACGCAAATGCAAGACGGGGGGAAACGCCGGTGGAGAAAAGGACACGTACATGTAGGAGGAAAGAAAAATGGGGAAGGAAAAGCGGGAAAAGAGAGGTAGGGAAGGGAGGAGGAGAAAAACACATAGAAGAAAAATGTATTTATCATTATGCGGGGGTGGTGAGGCTCTGTGAAATAACCGTGAGTCGAGCGAAGCGTGATATAGGCACGAGTAGTATAAATATATCGACGCGAAGTTGAGAGAAGAGTAAACGGTGAGACTGGCACGCCGGTTAAGTGGCGAATTAAGCGTTCTGCTTCAAGTTACGGAAGGGCTGAAAGGAGAGGAAGGGAGAAGCTTCGAGGAGGCGGAGTGCTCTCCGGCGTTATCCGAGCCGCGGACACGCGGATGAAGCCAGGATATATTAAATTAATGGGAAGGTGACAGCTTTCCCCGCCAATCCCCCGAGACCCTTCGCCCCCCCCGGGTTGTTCCGCCTGACGGCTTCGTGACCAACACTCCCCGTTCTAATTACGCACTTTACGTTCGCCATCCGTTAACACCCGTTCTCATCTGAGGGATCGATCTGACGTTTAGCAAACCCGCCTCTCCTCGCCGCGACTCCGCTTTCGGGAGAGAGAAAAAAAGGGAGAAAACAAAAGAGAGCGTCGTTATTTTTGCGACTCGAGGAGTCGGAGTTTTCCCGCGTTTGTCGTTTTCGTCATTCCGTCCGCCTAGCAGCTAGCAGCTAGCGAGCTTGCCATTTCGCGAAATTATCGCAACGCCCATTCGCGTCCCGAAATTGCTGGCGCGTCGCCAAACCGCGAGCTTGGCACTCGTCTCGCCGGGCACCGAAGCGAAGCTCGTCGCGGTCGGATTTATGCGTAATGCAAACGGGAGAGCGCACGCGAGACACGCCGTGCGAGCGACTCATCGCTCGCCGACTTCGTTTACATCCGCGAGAATCGCGCGACGTCGTGATTCAGCGGAGCCAGCGGGTCGGCCGCGCGCGCGGCGGCCTTGCCAAAACGGATTATTACGCTTTCCGCGAACGCCGGACATCGGTCGAATTTCTCGAAAAACGTGACGCAAGCTCACCGATGCGCGTCGCGTCGTTGGATCGTCTCGCCGGAGGAACCACGGAATCTCAATCTCCTGGCCGATCCCGTCGGTGGCCTGGCGCGACGGCCCATTTCGCAGTCATCGACCGATCCGTGTTTACGTTTGCACGAGGAAAGCGCTGATCGCTCTCTCTCTCTTTCTCTCTCTCTCTCTCTCTCTCTCTCTTCCTCCTTCTCTCGTCGCGTGTTCTCATCGGAAAATCCACCGTGCTTTTAATCCGTGCGTTCAGGGGGAGGGGGGAGGGGTAGTATTTTTCTTGGCCATTAAAAAACAGGCCGTCTGCCAATAGAAGATCTCCCCCCGTGATGCGCGCCTGCATCCCTCGGCCGCCCTGAAAAAGGCAAGGGGGACGCGCGCCTTCCTTTAATAACGATGCGAAAATAAACGTTTGCGGCCGAGATCCCGCCAGGATCACACGTCTATACGTCAGTATTATCTACATCGCGCGCTCGGCATTCATCGGCAATTAATTATTACATCCTCCCCCCCTCCCCCCGATGCGATATGGGTCCGCCGAACGCGGATCCCCCGGCGCCGTGCCGCGACGCGCGTCGCGCACACATCGCGTCCCGATCCGAGAAATAAACTCGGTCACCGGATCGTTTCCCCGTTTTGCCCGTGATGTCGCACAGGTAACCTGTTGCCAGAGAGAAACACGAACACATCTCCAACGTAGTGATGACGCCGGGCGAAGCGGTGTGCGGCCGTCCGCGCGCGATCGATGATAAACTATGTTGCCGGAGCGAGCGAGACGCTAAATGACGATTAAGGGCGAAAGGAGACCGGACGTAAAGCGATGAAATTCACGGGAGAATCCTCTCGAATGTCCATACGTACACGTATGTACGTACGTACGGAAATCGTTCGGTAAATCGTCCGCCGCGAACGCGGCGCGTGCACCTCTATAAATATCGCGAAAACGCGAGGGAAGGAAGAAAAAAAAAGGGAGAGAACGCCATACACACGGGATGGGGAAGATCGACCGCGATGGAGGAGCGCGAAGGAGGAATTGCGTGCCGCTGAAACACGGGCGCAGCTACATACGTTGGCGTACGGCTACGCCATACGGAGACTAAAATACCGCGGCTGCGGTTACGCGACTGCGGCGGCACCGCGTCCGCGCCTATATCCTCTCTCGGAATAGAATTTTCGCGGATGGATTCCGAGACGCGGAAGCGACGGGTTGTACATCGTACGCAGGATCGCGCGCGAGTTTTCGCTCGAGTTATGTTTTGGGGAGAACTTTTTCTCGGGAGGCCGAGATACGCCACCCTCGATGTTATTACGCCTCCCTCGCGCGCTCGACGCATACGTATACATACAAAAATACACGCGCGCACGGATGTGCGAGGAAAGGACGCGTCTCTCCACGCACGTTGAATAATGAAAATAAATAGAAACGAAAGGAGAGAAAGGGAAAAGAAAACTTTGCTACTGCGGATAGGCGGCAATGGTGAGACGGAAGATCTCCTCGCGAGCCGATCAAAGCGAAAAGCTCCTGAACGAGCCGATCAAAGCGAAAAGCTCCTGAACGAGCGTTACCTGACTGTCGGCGAGCTTCAGCTCTCTCTCTCCTCCGCGAAGAAAACGGGCGAGTCCCACCGCGCGCCGATGACGCCTCACGCCATGAACTTCCCTCCCGGTGGCGAAACGCGTTCCTCCCCCTTGAATTAGAAAATCACCGCCGATCGTCGCTGGGCTGCTCGCCTCCTCTCTCTTTCAGCGGCTCCGTTTCCTCTTGTCCCCTTCCTCGGCGAGAGGGCCGCGCGGAAATCGTTACATCTTCCACGGGGGAAACGCGCTCTTCCCGCGACACGCCGCCGGCGATGATGGATTCGCCACGGGTGCTACCTCCTCGGGTTTTCCCCTTCGTTTACTCTCGTTCGCGTACCTCCCTGCCTCGGAGCGTGAATTTTCGCGCGCGCACCCGCTGTTCCGCCGCGAGAGACCGTGGACGAGTAGAGGCTGCCTCTATGTTGTATTAAATACGAGCGTGCGAGCTAGAGGACACGCCTCTGCGAGGCATGGCGCAGACTCGGATTCCGCGCTCTGCGGAACGGCGAAACGGAAGCCCGCAGGGGCCTTTAACTCCGGCGAGAATACTCGATACGGCGCAAGTCATCCGTCGCCTGCCCGCCCACCCTCCCATCCCTTCGTTCGTTCGTTTGTTTGTTCGAAATGTTGTAATCCCCCAAGTATGTATCATCCAGAAGCGAGATCAGGGATATAACGTAACGAGGAAAAACGGCCGAAGCGATTGCGAGATCGCGAGATTTTTCTTCCTCCAAATCCCCCCCCGTCGAGCAACGAGCGAACAAGATCAATGATCCCATCGAGGGTGGGTTCATCGTGGATGTTTTACGCGCGACGATTCGAAATACGACGCGAGGGATGATGCGAGGACAGGAAATAGCTTTCCAATATTATTAGCACACGTTTCAACGTAAAAAAGCAGCGTTCTTTATTACGGAAAAAAAGATTAATCCCTCTGCGGAATTAATCTTCGGATAATAAAATCAATTTATTGCCTGTATATTTTGTTTTGTGCGCAATAAATCCTTTCGTTTCAGCTTTATTAAATCGAAAATAGGAAGCGACATATGCTGGCTGTATATACTGTATCACAGATAAATGCATCAGTCAAGAAATGTGATAATAATACAAAATAAATTCGTCAGAAAAACCAAGCACTAACGCGCTTGTTTTGAAGGCAGGAAGAGCTAACGCGAGGCGCTGCAAGTAATATAACATCGTACTTCGTACGTGAGATTTCGCTTTCCAATAGCTTAATCAACGTCGTAAGGCACTCTATCCCGTCATCGCCACGGCTTTCGAACGGCCCCCGTGCTGGTACTTCTTCTGATACCTTGATCTGCAATTCAAGAATAATATTCGAGTATAGCCCATTACGGGAAAATCAAGGAAAATATATGTAAACGGCTTACGCAATGTATTCGGTGACGTGAGTCTGTCTCTCATATCCGAGGTCCAAGTTTGGCACCTAGACCTGACGAGATTTCTTTTAACGACTGACGGTCGCTGGTACTTTGCCATCCTAAATGATAACGAAGGCACGTCTTTAATAGTTATACGAAGCAGAGGCAAGTCTACGACGTGTAAACGAAAAAAAGAGCTACACTATTACGTGGACTCGAATTCCTTTAGGTTCTTCCTGGCCAACGTCTTCTGCGTGGCGAACGAGTACGATCGAGCCGAGAGCGGTCGTTCCGTTCGAGACTGCCGAATTTCGCGATCCTGCGCGATCACCTTCATTCTCTTCGGCGGGGACTGGGCGAACAATTCCACTATATTCATCGACGCTGCGTCACACTTGAAAACGTTAAATCATTCTATTCTTAGCACGCTCTTATGTATGCTCTTATGCGCAACGAGATGATTGTTTGAGCGAAGAAACGAATAATTACCTGTAATTGTAAACGATGAAGAAAGTCCACCTCTGCCGAGTTTAAGGGCGCATCAACGTGCAACTTGAGCATACATTGCAACGCCTCCTTGTATACTTTCTTCAACGTGACAACGCGTTCGGTCCGCATCAATCTACGAACTAAGTAACCACGTGTATAAGCGTTGATGGTGTTCACCGCTCGTATCTGTATGAAAAAATATCAACTTTAATATCTTTCATAACAATATTATTGAAATGCATTGTTAACAATTTATAGTATTAAAATTGCAGCTTGTACTCACGTGTTTCTCGTGGTATACCGAAGTGTCTAACACCGGTACATGCGTGGTATTGCTATCTAAGGGAAATAATTGCCGACTGACAGTGGAATTCTTATATACAATAAAGTCGCGCGACTCGTAATTGCTGTTATCGTCATTATTATTGATATTATTATTATTATTATTATTATACGTAGTATCGCATAAACTCACTTTTCTCGCAAAATCAAAATCGAGAGTCCTCGGGGAGTTGTCCGCGGCAACGGATTTATGATGTTTAAGCAGGTATAAATTTTTCATGGGGAGATAATCTAATGGGCACACAATCACTCGGTTCGCCAACGGTAATTTGATATTACATTGTGCTTCCGCGCGTACATTGCCAGGGGATTTTTGTTTCGCGTTCGATTCTTGTCTCGCTTCACCGCTTGCCGATTTCGCTTTTGCATCTGAACGCGGCGTTCCAAAGGCACACTTTCGCATCTCAGCTAACAGAAGCAACTGCTGCTTCTGGAATTCCGCTTGCAGCAACGACTGTTCTTTTCGCTGGCGATATATCAATTCCATCATCTGCTTCTTGTGCAACTCCTCGATTTCTTTATAAACTGTCAAGAGTTTATCAGGTGTGAGGGAAGACTTCATTTTAATAATCGGATGTGCTTGGATACTTTCCATTTTACGCCGCATCTCATCTGTACGAGACAACTGAATCTTAGGGCTATTCGTGGACTCTCCCGTGGACTCTCTACTTGATAAATTTAATAAACTAGCATCATTACTTTTCTCTGATATTTCTAAGGAACTTGTCTTCTTAAGATGTCCTAAATCTACGATTGTACTAAATTTACGATTATGTTTCGTTGGCGTGACATTTAATCTGCTCGCATCTTCTTCAACGATTACCGCTTCAGTACGATCGGCAGATATATCTACTTGATGTGGCTCTGTCGTATCATTAGACTCCCCATGCTGAAAAGTTGGTTTGCTTCTCGCTGTGTCATCTGATTTACTTGAAACTTCAATATTCATTAATTGTTTGTTTTCCCATTCTACCTTAGGTTGTGCAATGTTCCATTGCTTTCGTTGTGATGTGTTAGTGGTAGGTGTGGGAACGTAATTTTCATGAGTTAATTCTGTATGTATATGAGCGAGCAACATAGGGCTGGGTGTATCTAATACGTAAGAACCTTGACGCGACAACTTAGGCGGATTTTCTGTTTCTTTGGAAGCCTCTGTGGAAGGTACATCTTCCTCATCATTACTCAATGTTATCGGAACTATATCCAGTGTTCTGGGTATTTCAGGCTTCCAACTCTCTGACAACGTCACGTCCTCATTCAGCGTCGTTGCTTCTGTCATAGTAATACATTCATTTTGATCCGCCATGATCATTACAGGTTTTGAATCATTAATAATATCTTCTGTTAAACAAACTTGAAATTGCGAGTGTTGTATATCTGATATGGAGGACTGGATATCATGATTATCTTTTATCTCTCTAGCAACCTCTGACACTGGTTCAACAATAGTTGTTTTGGAGTGCGTGTCACTGGTATTGGTATCGCTGGTAATACCATGGCTGGATACGTCACTGTCCGAGCTATACCTAATACTCTTTAATTTATCTATTGGTTCTATTATGTCAGCTTGTACACCTTTATCTTGAATGGTACGTTTAACAAGCTGCCTGTTCCTCAAATTTTCTTCCACTTTGGCCGCTAGGGACCTATAACATCTCATTTCCTCTTTGATGGTATCGGTCATCTGAAAATAGTGTAATGTCAATATAAAGCACATATCTATCCTAATCTATCTTTATCCTAAAGATAACAATGTGTCGGTTAATGAATATTTACTAGCGGTGGGAGAAGAGGTATTCCGTTTATTTTGAGACAGGAGGTATAAAATTCCTGCTGCATGTTTCACGTGTGATTTCGAGTCCAAGCTTCAGCGTAAACCAGCGCTTGTGCCTGCAAATGAATCGTCGCTATTCCTTACGTTTCTTTTTGACGATTTCACACTTTTCAAATTTTCACACGAGGCTATCCACTTATCATTCAAATATCCAACGTATAATCACCAAGGAGATAAACTCCATGGAACATTAGCGTCCCGAGACTCCAACTGATCACGGACATGTTTTGAAAATGACTACTTCCGGTTCGAATAAGACGTATCTAGCTATATTGTACTCCTTGATCTGTAGAAGGAAGTCGCTGGTATTGAAAAAAATATTATTAAAATTATTTTTGTAACAGTTTAATTAGGCCCGTTTTTAACTGTAGATATGAATTTTTTAATCGTTGATAGAAATATCTTAATATTTTTGTCTGAACAGAATCGTAAAGAAGGTTTTCAGGGCTCTAATGCAAAAATAAGAAGAATTTTTATTTCCTCTCAAATTTAATATTAACAAGTCTTGAAAAAAGTTAAAAAATTTAAGCAAAACTTATAATATTATAATTGGAAGAAATAAAAAATTATTTTTGACGAATCTTTTTTAATGGATTGATTCTCTGATGTTGAATGCAACTCTTGATGTTTAAAGTAATTTTAATTCAGAGAATATAAATAAAGGGAAAACTTTCATAAAACATAGGAAATTTTTTTTTATTGCTACCCTTCTCTTTTTTTATTTATACGATCCTGTATCGAGCATGGTGTACGAAATCAAACCGGAAATGGCCAGTTAAGCGAGGCAGCATTCGCTCCGCGATTCATGATTGTTTATATTTTGTCACATTGATGACAGCTGGAGAGATCACGCTTTTTACTGAAAACGCAACGAAGAATATCATTGGAAATGATTCCGGTAATTATAATATTTTGTACGGCATTATTAATAATACGTAATAACTACATTATTGATTCTTACAAATCAGAATTACATCTCTAACCTAACCTAACCATCAATTTTGATTTTTTGAGAGTTTTCTTGCGGAAATTAAAAAAAAAGTCTTATAATTTAGAGTATAAAACTTTGATTAAGAATCTTTGAAAAAGAGCGTAAAATTGAAAATAAATAAATACTAGGAATTAGAGAACTTGTGCTATATAACCTAAAGAAATGATTGAAGACAAACTCATTCAGTGAGAATTCTAAATAAAAAAATTGATTGTGATTCTCGATTAGATACTCTAATGTATCATGTGTATTCTAATGTATTTTCTAGCCGTGCGATACTTTGAGAATCCTTCATTTGCCTCCGGAACTTTCTGATGAACGGCGAGATGCATTATTACAGAAATATGGTGCGACTAGCACTAAGACGATACGGCCATCCAGTACTTACACTATCACTTTTGCCAAATTCCCATCCCAACAATTGGCGGCAGAGGCATTGCTGCGTCTACATCAGTTAAATGTCAAAGGACAATATTTGTCGATTGAGTATGCTAAAAAATCTGTACCTGAGCTTGGGGAGAAAGGCTTTGAGCATAAGATACCAATAAGCAGCGATGCAAAAATAGAAACTATTAATAAATCTCTTGTCCAAACATTTGTGCGAAAATTAAACAATTGGACGATGAATTATGAGTTCAGTCAGTTGCCTCCACCAAATATAAGATACAAGTATATCAAGCCAACAAGGATCACATTGATGAGAATAGCCATACAGCTGTTAACTCAGCCAGCTTTTTATACGCAGGTAAATTTTTGGGTTTTTATTACAAGATTCCATTTTATTGGGATTTTAAGTGACAGCATTACAGCTGTCGCATATATTTGTAGGTGTTGCATTTGATGAATAAGATGAATCTACCTCCTCCCTTTGAAGAATTAGAAACGGAATTTCCTATGCTCAGAGAAATATATAACATGGAGAAGTACAAAGGTAATTTTGATAATTTCAGCAATGTAAGCAACAATTGAGAGAAGTTAAATTAATGTAGCATTCTTCTATTCAGATATATTCTACGAGCACAAGAATGAAGAGGAGACAGAGAAAGAGGAATCTGAGTTGGAGTCTGATGAGGAAGATAATGTCCGACCTCTAGAAATTATTCCTGTTAAGAGGAAACGACAGCAATCTACAAAACGTTTGAAGATACCAAAATTTGTGAATCCCGCCAAAAATATCGCAACTCCTTCGTCCACGCAAAAAGTCAAACCAGAAGATATGTTTGAGTCCGTTCAGCGCGGAGAGACTAAAAATTTCAAGATTGAATTAAAGACTCTGGACAAATCATTGGAAGCAATGCCCGCTAATCAAGATAATATCGTGACTGTAGACGGCGGATTCGGCCTGATATTTCCAATTAATAAAACTGCTGAGGACGCGAAGGATAACGGAGAGACCGTGGAAACGCAAAAGAATAAGTTTATAACTTCTGAGGAATTGGCAGCTAATAAAATCTCCGCTAACGACCAGAGGCTACTTCCTGTGTTCAAAAATTATCACGCGGGCAAACCTTCCAACCGCCTCTACATAAAAAATCTCGCAAAGCAAGTGGAAATGAACGATCTACATTATATTTATCAAAGATACGTTATTGCTGGCTTGAAAGACGCCGAGAATGAGTGAGTATTCTGCTAATACTGTAATAGTTCGGTTTTTACTTGGTGATTTATACGTTACTTTCATTACGCGTTTATTAATATCTGCATTCTAGTTACGATGTACGACTTATGCAAGAGGGTAGGATGAAGGGGCAAGCCTTTATTACTTTACAAAATACCGTACAGGCAAAAATGGCTCTTGAGGAAACTAACGGATATATTTTAAAAGATAAGCCTATGGTTGTACAATTTGCCAAAACTGTTAAAAATTGATATATATCATGCTGCTTTGAACTTAATTTATTTCACGACATATTCACGACATCACGACATAACAACAATTAACTGTTGTTGACTAAAAAAATATTATACTTTTAGAATAAATGATTATAAATTACAGTCGAAGCAGTTTTGTTGACGCAATTTTATTCAACAATTGAAAATTAAAACTACCTAATTTGTATGTGTTATATTTCACTTGGACAAATGTTTAATTATTTAGAATGTGATAAACTTTGATAATGATTTATTTTTAAAAAGCAATATATATGTTTAGACGCGAATCTTTAAATGTTTCTTGTTGCGATTTATCTAATAATCCACCTTCCTTTCACATTTATCTAAAAAAGAATAAAAATTACTTAAATTAATAAGATATACAACGTGAGATATAAATGAAGAAATCAAAGGTACTTTTTTTACCAGAGGTACCTTTGCACAACAGGTGTTTAACTCGAAGCTAGTTTATAGGATATTTCTGAATCTTGCTTGTGAAATTCAGGACATTATATATCTGATCAAGAACAGTCTTGTATAATAAACAGAGTGATATTATATAATTTATACAAAGCACGCGCATAGATGATACCGCACGAAAGAACATTTTCAATAAATGCGATTTTATTTATTAACATTTGAGATGTAAACGATTAAGACGATTAACTTTATTTCTTAGGATCACTGAAGTAGTAGTACCCGAGCATAGCGATATTTAATTTTGAAAATATGACGAAGATGACTCGACATTTTCCTTCGCGCGTAATGTTTGCTAATTGAAATAAAATTGCGCGCACGCACACGCACACGCACACGCATACGCATACTTACGCAATTAAGAGGAAATTGCACATGACGTTGTTCGTTTACTATATTATAAAAAGAAATATAGCATATTATAAATTATCGACTAGCTTAATAACATTGTCGACAATCGCTAATTGCAATTCTTTTTGCATACCTAGCTGGAATTCGGCCTTTATATTAATCATATTTTCGCAGATGGAGAATATCAAATAAAATATATATGCATAGCGAAATCAAACTTTAGCTCGCGAATACGAAAAGCATTCCGCACGTTGCGGAAAATTCGTCGCTTAATCAATGCGGGAATTCCACCTTTCTCCATCTGTTAGTTCCAATCGGCATCATCTTCCTTCACACTCTCCTTCGTATCACACTTCTTCGCGATTTCATTGTCACAGACATCAGTGCCATTTCTTCATAAGCACTATTTGATATTTAGTGGAAATGGATTTCCTAATAAAATGCTGTAGTTGATTTCAAAAAATGCGAAAAAGTCTGGATGAAAACTCTCCCGCGCGTTTTCGTGATCCAAATTCATGATCCCATCCTTCGCGTGTCACTTCTTTCTCTCCTTTGCCCCGGGTTATTCCGCATAATAATTTCGTGATCAACAATCCCCGGCACTGTGCGTTACATTCGCCACTCATGATTCATCATTTGTCGATTTTATTTTCATCCATAAACGCATACCGCGACATTATGATTTATAAAATCAGTGGCTTGCCCGGTTTTTACTAAAATGTTTTTCGCGGACGACCACACGAGCGATTCTCGACGTGAAGAAAATTCACTTTTAAAAATATCGCGGTTGAAAGATGAGATGAATCCTGAATGAAAACTGAACTCTCTCTCTCTCTC